CCTCCGATTCGAGTTCTTTATTACAGGTCGAGTCACAAGATCCCCGCACAATTGAGTCAAGAGTGGACTGGTTGTGGGGATTGGGAAAGTTTATAAAGCTTAGCCGCTCAGGTAGGGCATGCAGAAAAGTTGTTGTTGAATTTGAGCTCTATCGAAAGAGTCGATAAAAGGATTTGGAGGTTTGGACGAACCTTCCACCTAGTGATTAATTTACGACAAAGTTTTCTATTCCGCTGCAACAGTTCGTTTGTCTTTACCTTATCTTTTTTTTTTTTTTTTGTACAAGAAACGGCAGCGAATAGCTATTAGGTTGTCGGCTATCTTTCCGACGGTATTCAATTGGCAGCTAGCATTGGATTTTTTTCCTATTTTCTTTCAGGGTTTATTGAAGATTAACAGAAAAAAGTTATTATATTTATTCATTTTCTATTTTTGCTATTTGCCACAATCTACTGCTCTTACTTTGCCGCCCAGAATGGCAGAAAACATGCAGAAACAAATGAAGACAATTATCAGTCCCTTTGTACCAGCCATGGTGTAGATTTTGCGTAGAAACTGAAAATAAAAAGGACGAATACAAATAAAAATTAGTTCTATCATTTTCTTATGACTGTTTTTTTCCTTTGTTTATTTATTTATTTTTTTGGTAGGGGGTACCTTGACGCTGAAATGATATTCTAGAGTGAAGGAATAGGGTACTAAGTCGCAATAAAGGTGAATGTATTTCCGAGCACAGTAAGGGAGGGTCACAATAGGGTGATGGCTTTTACGACTAAAGGTCAGAGGTTACTCTACTGCTAACAGTTATTTTCTTTTTTGGAAAACTTATTTCACGACTAATGGTTGATATTTGTCAATTTTTTACACCTAACGTCTACTTTTTTGGCCTTTTTACAGCTAAGTGTTGACCTCATTAAGAGTATTTTTTAAAAGCGTATTATAAAGGAGCCATCATAATCAAACTTGCGAGCTGCAAAAAAACTTGTGGGACTCATAATTTTTGTGTAAGTTTCACCCTGAATTCTAAGAGAACAATTCAGTAAGTAGATCTTGGCCTTGGTCGAATCAAAATAGAGAAAAAGAAACGGAGGGATGTTTTCGGAAAGTAAACGTCTCTCCTAAGAATAAATGAATTTCAGAGCGCCATCCCTTGAATGGCAACGTCGAACACAAGTTTCTTAAATAAAGTGAAAAAACGCAAATGAAACTGTATAAAAAAGGAATAGTGCTTTACCTTGTTTGAAGCCAACGTGTTCGCCTGCCAAGACGTTGAGAGAAAGTGAATGAAAAGATCTTTAAGCTCCGATAAAAACTACTTGATACGTGTTATTTTTCCTTATTTGGAAGTAAACGAATTTTCTAGCTAGAGTCCTAATATTTAATTTGTTTATTAGTGCTTCATGACTAATATTGGGTAATGAGAGCAATTTAGGACCACAAGTCAGTCAACGGGGTTCCTCAAAGCAAAAACAAAATAGTGTATGCTTCGATTGCGGCAAAGAGCCTGACAGAAGAGTTTATCCATTCTGAAGTTCAAACTAAAAATAAAAGGAACGAAAATTCTGTTGTTGTTCTGTTTTTTTTCGTCAAAGTGATCAATTTGTTAAAAATTCTCAAATAGCATAATCTAACCAGGCGTCGAGTGGGAGTGAACAAATAATTATATTTTGAGTCTTCTAATTAAAGCCTCTTCGAAAGAAAAAACGCTGCGGTGTTTGGGAGAAATATAACGAAACTTTCAACAATTTTTTAAAAAATTATTTTTATAGCCCAAAATTGCGTGGCTAATTGGGATGTTTCGTCGATGTTGGATGCGTAGATGGTCGTAAGCAAGGGTTTATAATCTCTAGTCATTGGTCATTGTCAGATACATGTTGTTCTCATGAGAAAAAAA